GTTTCTATTATTGTGTACCACGCTTCTTCTATTATTGGTGTGATTTGCAAGAGTGCTGCCACCAATGTTTTAGTTAAAGAAAGAAAAAACATAATTGTCCCCGACATCTGTGAAAATAAAATTATTATTTTATAACCGTTTGGTTTTGAATAAATGCCTATAGAGGGTATATTCTTAGAATCCCGTACCATACTGGGGTATCATAAAAATTATGCAATGAAACCTTTTTTTTTATGTGTTGTTATCCCAATTAAATGCCCTTAAACTAAATGTATCTTCATCCCTTTCGTTTAAGTTTTCAATATTTGCCAATTTCATTGGGCTTTTAATTTTCGTCGGATGAACGTTCTGTAGTGGATTAATTCGGTAATACGGTTGATCTTTATGCCGTACTCTTTTGTAGTATTTAATTGGACCTTCTTCTCTTGTTTCTATATAGTCTCCCTTTCTCTGTTCCTTTAACCTATACTATTTCTTTTGAACTTTTCTATTCGCACCTTCAAAACGTTGGAAGGCACTTCATCTCTTGCCGTTCGGGGTGTGCATTGGATGGTAGAATAATACCGATCGTTGTACTTTCCAACAACAACCTACATTCAATTCTCAGTTGAAAGATCAGGGTCTCCAATTCTTGTTAGTTTCTCTAACAAGGTTGAGTGCAATTTCTCTACGTCCGCATTTCCTGTATGGCTGTTTGGCTTTGTGAGGTGAATCAAAGATATGCCAGTAATCGTTCTGCCTTAAATTCGTTGTCCATAATGACTTTGTTTGGTTTATTGAATTTCAAAAAATGGTCAATCATTATTGCAAGAAAACATGCTTATAAGTAATAGTTAAATTTTGTGATAATCGACCTCCTTAACTTCGGAAAAAATGTCAATATGTCTTCGGAAAATATTTTTCACTACGTTCTCCGTGTCAATAGGGTTAATCTCGATTATTTTCCTTCCATGTATTATTTGAACTTCAATTTGGGGACTATATGTGTTATTATAATTTGGATCTTATACTTATTAACAATTTCTTCCTTTATGAAGAAATGTTCTAACAGCTCCTCTTATGCGGAATGTATTGTATCTGGCATTTCTAAATTGGATTCTTTGTCATTGCTTTCGTCTGTTTTTATAGAGTTTTCAATCCGGCTTAAAAAATGTGTTACTACATTATTTTTCCCTTTCTGATATTCGATTTAATAATTGAASTCTTGCAGTTTCCACAGCCACCTTTGGTGACGTTGTGAAAACTCCCTACCTTTACATTTATTATTTAAAAATATTATTGGGCTATGATCAGTTATATTTTTAAATTTTGTACCATATACATATGGCGTGAGATAAGTTATTGAATATATAATGGCTAGAAATTTCTTATCTGTTGTAGCATATTTCTGTTCATGGTTATTTAAAGTTCTGCTAATGTAGCACACTGGCTGACCTTGTTGAGAAAGTACTGCGCCTATTGCGTAATCACTTGCATCCGTTGTAATGGTAAACTCCTTATCATATTCAGGAAATTTGAAAATTGGATGTGATGATATCAGTGCTTTAAAATTTTTAAAACTAGCTATGTACTGCGGATCTCTTGAATTTATTTTGTAATCTTTTTTTAAATATTTAATCATTGGATATTGGAAAATTTTCTCTAATGAGTTTAAATGTTCCTCTAATGACGTTTAATACGTCGTCTAAATAAACGACACATAACATAAATAAGATATAAATAAGATAATGTATTCTCTTAATATGTCATTCATTAATCGTTGAAAGGTAGCCGGAGCATTTTTTAGTCCGAAGGGCATTCTTATATATTCGTAAATTCCCACCGGAGATACAAAAGCTGTCTTTTCAATATCCTTTTTATCCATTAAAATTTGATGGTAACCTTTGGCTAGATCAAGAGTGCTAAAATACTGCGCCTTGCCCAACTTGTCTAAGATTCCATCAATGTTTGGCAAATGATATTTATCATCGACAGTTATTTGATTTAGTCTACTGATAATAGGTGAACTATATTTACTTCTACTTTTCCGAATTATACCTTGTTTTTCTAGCTCCCTAATTTGCCTTATGGCTTCTTCCTCATGTTTCGGAGGTAACCTATATATCTTTGAATTGATTTGCTGGTTTGTGGTGGTTCTTATTTCGTGGACCACCGTTTTTGTGTTTGTCAAGGTATCTCCGTTTTTATACATTAATTTTTCATACTTCTTTAGCAATTTTCAACCTCCTTACGTTCATTTGACTTTGAATGATCCAATTTTGTATTTTACTTTCTTCCAATGCATATACCTGCTCTTGGATAGTTTTTAAGTAAAACGGAATTTTAACATCATTTTTAAGCTCAATTTCTTCGTTTTCAATATCGATTATATTGAAATTATTAAATATAAAATCTTTTCCTAGTAGAAGATCGTACGGTTTTTCAAAGTCCATTTTCAACCATCTCATCCTAGCATTGTGAGGGTATTGAAATTCTAGCGGACATGGTATCTTAATTCTTTCGTTAGACGCTTTTATTTCACCATTCAGTGTACTAATTATTGTTTTTTTTTCTAGAACCGGTAACTTATAATGTTCGAAACTTGATTTTTTCATAATACTAATAGTAGAGCCTGGGTCTACCAATGCACACCATTTTTTATGAAACAAAGTAAGTGAAATTAATATTTTGTTTTGATTTTCCGAGGCTAATTGGTAAAAAATTCCTCGTTGTTATTCGTTTCATCTGTCCTGCCCACATCATCAACATCCATGGGAGTTGGGCCATTTGAACGTCTTGTTTGCCGAGTGCCGTTCTGTATATTTTGTCTTGCTGAATTACCATAGCCGTTATTATTATTATTAATATTATTATTACGATATTGATTTGTATATTGGCCTGAATTTCCTGTTCGATAATTAGTTTGTCTCTGTGTATTATTTGGGYGATCATTATTTTGCCCTGAAAAATTGGTATTTCTTTGGGAGTATCGTCCCGAATTATTTTGTGCATAATAACGATCACTGTTTTGATCGCCAATATGTTGTCTCCTAAAGTAGTTTATTCTTTGATTATTTTGATTTTGGTTACTATTAAAATTTCTTGCCTTCTGAGCAAATTGGTTTCAATTTCTGTTACTTGCTAAAAATATAGGATTTAAATTTCCATCGTCCAGCCCTATGAAATTATGGATCGTATTTGTCATGTCTGCCCACGTCGTTATATTCCGTATCATATATCGAAAGTCCCTGTTGCAAGTTGCTTTATCCTTTGTATAAGCATTCCTGAAAATGTTTCTTTCATCATACCGCCTGTTAACGTTTGCCACTAGTATACTTACTTGCTATAGTATACCTATGAGATGGAAAATAAAATGCACTGATTTCCACACTCGATATAAAATATTTATTTCACTAGAATCTTATTTGATTGTATGTAACACTGTGTAAAGAAAGTCCAATGTTGGACACTGTTAGCGAACTCGGTGCTCCACGGATGAAACGAAAAAGAGACCGATCCCGGTCGGATCAATCCCTTTTGAAGATTTGGGTGGTGAATAGCTGCTGATTACGAGGCGTCTCGTTGATAATCGTGTGGTTGTTGTGTTGTAGTAATGAGCGGTGTTAAGAACTGTGTTTGATGCGTGTGTGTAGTGGTGTATGCTGTGAACGGTTGTGTGATGAGGTGTTGGGACGTGACGTGATGTGATGTGATGTGAAGTGACGTGAGGTGATGCGATGTGATATATTGCAGAATGCATAGCTCATGTGAACATCTCGGCCCCCCTAGGCGAGTGAATCGGCTAGGAGCCTCTGCAGCTGTTGCAGTGTGCTTAGTACAGCACTCAACCCTGTTGAGCGACGTTGTTGCTTTCGATGAGCGTGGCATGGCGGAGATAACCGCGAACGCATTGTGGTTGATTGGCTGCTTCGTCGTCGCCGGATAGAACCGCATAGGGTGTTGGTGCTATTTTCCGACGGATTGGCTCGGCGGGGAAAACGATGAAATAGAGTGTGATGCGGCCGGTGGCAATATTGACAGGCGCCGTCGGCCCAGCGCTCTATGGTGGCGTGGTCATCTCCCAGGCAGGTCATGCAATGCCCGTGGGCTCTTGCAACCTGTTGACGTTGAGCGGGCTTCATGCTCTTTAAAATGGAGTATCGTTTGAGGGTGTGTGGGCGATGGCAAAGACTGCAAGATGGAGGCCCCTGTGGCTCCAATAGCTGCCCTTCTCTCATCTCCCTGATTGCAGCGGCGGACGGCGGTGGGCGCACAACAGTGGTCCTTGGAGCGGCAACGAGTGCTGCCGATGCTGGTGCAGCGATTTCGGAGCTTACGGTGTTGAAGGTGGTTTGAGTCTCATCTACGTCCATTTCTATGGGAATATAAAATTGCATTAAATGGATTTTATTTAAGTATAATATTTGAATGTAGTTGTTGTAGCTACATATCTATACATATATATATGTATAATTGGTTGATCTTCAACGCGCTTGTGTGCGTTTATTTTTATATACGGATTTTAAAGCGGGTTAATGTCGGATTAGCGGAATTGATTCATTATTCTTTTCGATTAATTTAGCGAGCTATTTTGCGGTTTTGGTTGAAGTTCTCCTTCGCTGTTTGGAAGAAAACACAGTTTAGGGACTGGTCGAGTTAATATGCCGGTTTGTGTTCGAACATCGACTACTCTTATGTGACCATCTGACCCTCGATGAACCTTTTCAATGCGGCTTAGCCACCATTCTGTTGGAGGAAGGCATTCGTCCTGTATTATGACGCATTCTCCTGCATTGGCTTCCTTCTGGGCCGTTTTCCATCGATATCTCTTATGAAGATCCTTGAGATAGTCTTCCTTTCATCTGCGGCTGAATTTGTGATGGAGAATCTTGATTCTTTCCCATCGATTTAATAAAGTGAGTGAGTCTCCTTCTGTCTCAGGTATGGCGAGAAGAGGAGCTCCTCTGAGGAAATTACCTGGTGTGAGAGCTGTGAAATCGGAGGAATCTTACGAGAGGGGTGATATGCTCGTAGGTCTTGAATTTAATACGGCTTCGATACGAGTGAGTAGTGTAGTAAACTCCTCATAATTGAATTTATGATTACCAGCCGTTTTCTTAAAGCTTTTTACTGCTGATTCCCAAAGTCCGCCCATGTGTGGAGAACATGGAGGTATAAACTGCCAATCGATCCCTTGGGGTGCATATTTGTTAACTATTTCAGGGGAGACTTCTTTCATGAAGTTTATAAACTCCTTCTCTGTTGCTCTTTGGGCTCCCACAAAGTTTTTCCCATTGTCGCTCATTATTTTTGAAGGAAATCCGCGTCATCCGACAAAGCGTGCAAATGCTGCAAGAAAAGCCGCAGTAGTCAGATCTGAACAAAGCTCGAGGTGTACTGATTTCCTCGTAAAACAAACATGCAAAGACAGCCACATACCCTTTTCTAAATGAAGAAGACCTTAACATAGAGGCCTTTCTCTGGAAAAATCAACCCCAGTGATGGTTAAGGGTAGAGTATAGTTGCAGCGTTCAGGTGGTAAAGCTGCCGTGATTTGCGGACGCATTTTGTGTTTGTACATGGTACATGGTTTACACATGAAAATCGTCCGTTTGATTTGTGGCTTTAGTCGCGGTATATAAAATTCTTGATGCAGTGTAAGCTGATGCAGATATGCTAGAAATAGATAAGTAAAACCGAATTTCTCTGGAATAATGATGGGATGTCGTTCGTTATAACTAAGGCTGGAGTTCGCTAATCTTCCATTTGCCCTTATTAATCCGTTAGAATCTAAGAATGGATTTAAGACGAGCTTCCCTTTTCGAGATTTCGCTTTTCGAGCAACTTTGATTTCTCCTTGCTGAAATAGCGAGTTTGTGTATATAATATTAGACTGACCTTGGCATGTTGCAAGTCGGAATGCGTTAGTTGTACGCAAGGATCTTTTGGTGCTTATTTCATTTTTTGTTTAAGTCTTCGAATAAATTGGTTCTTATAAGCGACTACCCTTAGTGCTCTTGGAAATGATGAAAATCTATGGAGAATATCATCCTCTTTTCAAGTGATATGAAACTTTTCAATTTTCCGACTTTCTGGCTTTATTATATTACGAGCGGGAGACTTTGGCCAGAATTCTTGTGATTCTGTTAGCCATGTTGGACCATTCCACCAGAGTGTAGTGCTGGTGAGGTGCAGTGGCTTGCACCCTCTTGTCGCAAGATCCGCTGGGTTATCTGCACTTGCGACATGTTGCCATTTTGCTGGGCCAACTAAGTCTAAAATTTGGGATATTCGATTAGATACATAGGTCTTCCAGCAATAGGGTGGTTTTTCTAACCACGCTTAAACTATTTCTGAGTCTGACCAAAGATACGTTTTATGATCAGTTAATTTCAGATGGATTTGAACTATCTAAATTAGTTTTGCTAACAGAAGACCACCATTCAGTTCAAGCCGTGGCAGACTGAGTGTCTTCAAAGGTGCGACTTTGGCTTGGGCTACCAAGAGGTGTGCAGATATTTTGTTATCGTACTGTGTGCGTACGTAAACTGCTGCGCAATAAGCCTTTCCAGAGGCATCACAGAAACCGTGTAATTCTGTGTTAATGTTAGGGGTGAAATTTACCCATCGAGGGATTCGAATTTCGGATATAGTATGTAGGTTGTTAGCAAATTGAACCCATTTCGCTAAACGTAAAAGTTTTACCTGTTCATCCCATTCAGTGCCATCTTGCCACTATTCTTGAATGAGGATTTTAGCTTGAATCATTATTGGCGAAAGCCATCCTGCGGGGTCGAAAAGTTTTGCCACCGAGGAAAGTATTTGGCGTTTTGTAATGGCGGACATTGCAGATGTTGACTCAATTGTGTATGAGAATTGATCTTTTATCGCATTCCATTGAATCCCTAAAGTTTTGGTTGTACTAGCTTTTTCAAATTTAAGAAAATCTGAATCTAATAAGTCTTCCTTTTTAATGTCTTTTATTATTTCAGGGTGATTTGATGTAATCTTCTTTAGGGGAAACCCTGCTGAATTTAATGCTTTGATCACTTGCGATAGTGATTCGCGTGCTAATTCGATACTGTGGCTACCTGATAGTATGTCGTCCACGTATGTTTGTGTTTGCAACACAGAAGATGCTAAAGGCAAATTTGTTGCATTTGTTTGTGCCACTTCATGCAATGTTCTAATGGCCAAATAGGGTGCACAATTGATGCCAAAGGTGACGTTTTAAGTTTATAGTCGCTGATTTTCGGAAGACTATACGTTGGAAATCTTGGTAATCTTTATGTACTAGAATTTGTCTGTACATTTTTCTACATACCCATTGAAAACGTATTTAAACATGCGCCAATTTAGAATTAGCAACATGAGATCAGGTTGTAATGCTGGCCCTGTGTATAGTACATCATTGAGTGATTTGCCTGAGCTCGTACAC